CAAAAGAGGAAAACTAAGTTAGTCATCTGTGTGAATGGCTTCCTAATGGAAGTGCTAGATGTTCCCTAAAATTTGGAGGACACGGTGGCCTACCTGTAGCCCTGTAGGGGAACCGCTCACCCAGGGCTCTCATGAGGTCGCAGCCCCCATGCAGAACAGTAATGCAGGCCTATCATCTGAGTAGCCAGGAAGCTAAGGCAGGGAGAACAGGAGTTGGCGGCCAACCTGCTTACATTTCCCAGAAAACTACTGCTTAGCAGCAAATACCTACAAAGCCCATCTCCTCCCCTCTGAAACATTCACACCAAGGCTCTCGGACAAGGTAAAGAAGTAAAAGCGAAACCAACCACAGAAAGCTGCTGGCCAGGCTGTGCACAGCGCGTGCGTGGGGGACGCACTCGTGCGGCATTCCTTGAAATGCTAAGAGGGCAAGAGCCATGAGCGGCCCTCTAGTGCATGGCTCCACTGAGGGCCGCAGCTGGAGCCCCGTCACACCAAGAACGCTCCTGTTTAGAACCGAGGAAGGCACTTGAAAGCCACACAGACCCCAGTCACTAGGATTGTTTTCTTCAATTTATAGAGGGGAAACTTAAGCTCCTAATGGATTTCAGGGTTTGTTTATTGTTGTTTTGCTCTGTTTTGCTTTGGTTTTTGTTGAGATGCAGTCTCCCTATGTAACTCATGCTGACCTTTAACTTGAGATTCCCCCTACCTCAATCTCCCTGGTGCTGTGATTATAAGCCTGCACCACCATGCCTTGCTCTGTGTATGTGTATGTGCGTGCGCGCACGTGCGCCCACACATACACATACTAGAGCTTCAGTTGAGCGAGGATGTTTAGGTACACTCTGCTACACTCAGCCTGGTAAATCTTTTTTTTTTTTTTTTTTTGGTTGGTCGTGGGGCTTGAACTCTACGCCTGAGCGCTGTCTCTCAGCTCTTCAGCTCAAGGCGAGCGCTCTACCACTTGAGCCACAGCGCCACTTCCGGTTTTCTGGTGGTTAATTGGAGATAAGAGTTTCACAGACTTTCGGACTTTCTGCCCGGGCTGGCTTTGAACCGCGATCCTCAGATCTCACCCTCCTGAATAGCTACTAGGAATACAGGCGTGAGCCACCTGGTAAATCTTTTGCCTAGTATTTACCAGATACTGATGTTTTCACTAAATTCCTACCCCTTGGGGCCCCTCTGTAGATGGCTCACTCACAAGCTTTCCATCCATTAATCCTCATTTCCACCCCGCAAGGAAGTCTTATCTGCTCCATTCTCTAGGAGCAGGCAGGTAAGACAGACAGGGCTCAAACTGTCAGCCCCAGTCATCTACCTGATGTCATTAGCCATCTAGGATTTTCCTTGGGGATAGTCAAGTTCTTCTCCTTCCAGGTCCCAAATACTGAACACAGGTTTTAGGGCCTAATCAAGACTACAAGAAGTGGCACTGTGGCTCAAATGGAAGAGCGCTAGCCTTGAGCAAAACACAGCACCTAGGCCCAGAATTCAAGCCCCAGGAGCAGCAAAAATCAAAATCTACATTTCAGTTTTTCAAATGCAGCAATGGCACTCACTGGACACCATGCTGAAAATGAACTATACAACTTGTGGGTGGGGATGGGAGGGGAAAACAGAGCGAGGGAAGGGATGATGTTTTCTTAAGAAACATACTCTTGTTTTTTTGTTTTGGCCAGTCCTGGGACTTGAACTCAGGGCCTGAGCACTAACCCAGCCTCACTGAGCCACAGCGCCACTTCTGGCCTTTTCTATTTATGTGGTACTCAAGAATGGAACCCAGGGCTTCATGCATGCTAGACTACCACTAAGCCACATTCCCAGCCCCACAAAATGTACTCTTTACCCGATTTAGGTAACTGTAAGCTCTCTACATTATAACAACAGTAAATATATATTAAAAAAAAAAAAAAAAAAGACTACAGCAGCCACAGAGCTACTTAGCATTACAGAATGAAAAGGGCATGGATTTTAAACTGAGTCTCAAGGAAAGTGGAATCCCATCTCACAATCGCATACTTGGCAGGCCACTGAGCACACTCACGCAGCCCAGTCCCTAAACACTCTGTGGCTCCACTGAAGTCAATTCTTGTCAGACAGGTCAGGAGTCAAAGCATTCAACATTCTGGAACAGACTGTGCTCAGGATCCCTAGACCACTTCTCAGGACTGGTTTAAACACACACACACACACACACACACACACACACACACACACACACACACACACGTATATAAAACCCACAACTTCCCTTGTACTTGGTTCCTCCCCAAAGGGCTGTTGGGCCTCATCTGGAAACAGCTGGGAGGCAGAAGTTAACAGGAAGCCAAACCGAATGAAAAACCAAAACAAAACAAACAACAACAACTACCAGAGTGTGCCCAGGAAGAGAGGCCAGGGACAGACCGGCAGCTGAAGTCAGAAACTGAGACGCAGAAGAGAGCCGATGCTCTTCCTCTCAACCCAAGAAGAAGAAACCTGGACATACAGCGCCGTAAGTTCTGACCAGAACAGCTTGGAGGCTGCCCCCAGTCCTCCCAGCCCACTGCAGACCCAACCTCTCTGAAAGCCAGGTGGTGGTGACAGGAGAGTTGAGGTTAGAAACCAACTTTTCTCTAGCTCCTTTGTCAATCTGTACTAAAGAAACTCAGGGAGGGCTGGGAAGGTGGCTCAGTGGTAGAGTGCTTGCCTTGCATGCATGAGGCCCTGGGTTCGATTCCTCAGCACCACCTAAGCAGAAAAAGCTGGAAGTGGTGCTGTGGCTCAAATGGTAGAGCACTTGCCTTGAGTTGAAGAGCTAAGGGACAGCACCCAGGCACAGAGTTCAGGCCCCACAACCGACAAAAAAGAAAAAGAAACTCAGGGAAAAGCCGGATGCTGGTGGCTCATGCCTATAATCTTAGTTACTCAGGGGGCTGAGAGCTAAGGATCTCAATTCAAAGCCAGTCCAGGCAGGAACGTTCATGAGATTCTTGTCTCCAATTAACCACCAGAAAACCGGAAGAGGTGCTAAGGCTCAAAGTGGTAGAGCGCTCACCTTGAGAAAGAAAAAAAAAAAAAAAGAGCTCAAGGGAAAGTGCCCAGACCCGGAGTTCAAGCCCCATGACAAAAATAAAAAGAAAATAAAAAGAAAAGGGAGGGGGGAGAGAAAGAAAAAAAGAAACTCAGGGAAGGCCTCGCACAGACAAAGAACATCTTCAGGAGACATTTCCAGCAGATCTCACCGCAGGCCTGAAATTTTTCTGGTGCTATTTAGTAAGTCTTTAGGACATCCAAACTGAGGGCAAAGGTGAGACTGGCTGATTCTTCCTTTTGCAGCGCTTACTTAGATGGAGACCTTTCTAGCCTATACCTCCTATGAGTTAAGCACCATTCTCTCTCCCTGATGTGTACAGTTTATATTAAAAATTTTTTAAAGAGGATTAAGTTTTCTTAATACATTCCTGTCTTTCACCTCTGGTTTTGTGTGAGAAGGCACTAATGCACAGCTTATGCAGCTTTCTAGCTGGGTTTAATTCCATTGGAAGTGCTCAAGATTTGAGAGCGGAGGATGCAGAGGGCTACAGCCCCAGTGCCATTTGTTTTAAGGGCAGAGGAACATCTTCACAGGCTGGGTGCCAGCTCAGACTGGCAAGACCTGAGAAGCAGAGCAGACTGGCCAACATGCCACGTAAGGGTGAGTGGAGGGAGAGCTGTGCTACTGGCACATAAGTCATCAGGGAACCCTCACGAAAGAAAACAAGGGTGAGAGGTACGTTGTAGGAATGTAACATAGGGCAACTCATCATTTATTCCAGAGTGGAAAAAAGCCATCCAGAGTCAAGTATCTAGTATTTTAACTATAAGCAAATACATAATAAACCCAGAGCATTGAACACACTAGGCAAATTCTCTACCACTGAGCTACAGCCCCAGTCCTGAACTATGTTTTAACTTGGATTTATATAGGGCTTACTATGGGGGAAGAAGCACCGAGGATGTCTGCTTGAATCCCATGAGATTGAAACCAGCCTGGGTAACATAGCAAGACCCTGTCTCAAAAAAAAAAAATACCAAGAAGGTCCTGGGTAATCCTCCATTCTTCACACTGTTTCTGGGCTCTCCCAGGAAACTTTCCTGTGCTGTCTGCTAGCAGAGCTGAGGCAGGCAGCCAGAGCCAGTGCAGTTACTAACGCAAAAAGGTCCAACTCAGCAGGGAGCCCATCCGGAGCTCCAGCTAGGCTGGGCTGCTCAGGCCACTGCAGTGAAGCACGCCAAAGTTCTGTGGTTGAGGAAGAAAAGTCACCTGAATCAAATTTCTAATAGACACGCATGGGGGGGGGGGGGGGGAGACTGTTAACCCTCAAGGGCCAGATATTTGTGACTTAGAATAAAGGGATCTTAGGCGCAGAGCAAGTCTACAAGAAAGGATGGTTCTGCCGCGTCACACCCAGACACTGACATCTGCCTCATATGAGGTTTCAGGGCTGGCCAGAAAACCCTCCAACTTGCCAGGAAAACAGACTGCACCTCCAGAGGCTGTGACCCCAGACAGACATCTTCCCAAGTAGGAGCACCTAGGACCCAGAATTTTTTTTATTTTTTTTAAAGCCTATTCTCCTGAAGTGGGGACAATTTAGGAAAAGAAGCTATCTGGCACTGGAACAAGCTCTTCACGAACTCCCTCACTCCAGCCCCACAAAACTGCTTCCATGCCATTCCCCCATAACGCGGCCAAGCCCTCCCCGCTCCAAGATGTCACTCGATCATTAAAATAGTGGAGCCAGCGCCCTCAGACACACAGGGCAGGTGGTCTCCACCGCCCAGGGCAATCGCCAGCGGCACACAAAGCAGGTGGGGGGGAGGGGGTCGAGGGAGCTGGGTCTACACCCCCTTTCTGGTCGTCCCAGATGCCTGGCCCCCGGACATTGGAGGGGAGGGCCCGGAGGGAGGGAACGAGAAGCCGGAAGAACCCCAGCGCTGCTGACCAGGGAAGAAAGAGGCCAGGACGGCAGTAGCTCTAGCCACGTTTGGGGACCCCCAGGCCCATCAATCCTCCCGCGCCCCAGGAGCCGCTCGGGGCCCCCGGGCGTGAGGTCCCGGGCTCCGGCGGCGGCGGGCCGGGCCCCAGGCCGGCCGGGCCCTACCTGTAGGCCAGGGTCATGCACTCGAAGAGCTTGGTGAGCGAGGCGTCGATGGACAGGTGGCAGGAGCTGGTCTTGCCGAAGCTGTAGGTCTGGCACGTCTGCTTGTTGACCGTGTCGAAATCGTAGCCCTTCTTGGGCGGGTGCTCCCGGTGCGGCGACGACACCATGAAGTGGCCGCTGTGGATTATCTGCTGGCGGCGCGGAGGCTCTTCGCGGCCCGGCCCGGCGCGGGGCAGCACCGGCGCGGCGCTCGCGTGGGCCCGGGCCGAGGGGGCCGCGCCGGAGGCGGGCGGCGGGGACGGCTCGTCGGTGTCCGAGTCGTCGTCGTCCTCGGGCACCCGAGGCTTGAGTAACACCGAGCGGACGCGGCTGCGGGGCCGGCGAGGGGAGCACATGAAGACGTCGGCGGCCATGAGGAGAACCCGGCCCGGGGCATCCCCCGGGGCCCAGCGCGACGCGGACAGGCGAAGCCGAGAGGAGCCGGCCCGGCCCGGCCCTCGCGCGGACTGTCCGCGAGCGCGCGGCGGGGCGGGGCGGGGCCGGAGGGGGAGGGCGCCCAGCCCGCCGTGACGTCACCCCGGCGTCTCGGCCAATCGCACGCCCGCCTCGGCCTCTTAAAGTCGCAGGCGAACCTTCCCTTAAGCAGGCGGACAAAAAAAAAAAAGAAAAAGAAAAAGAAACCAGAGGCCACGCCTCCGTTCCGCCCTACTCTCGCTCTCCCACTCCCTCCCCGCAGGCGAGGGCGTGGCGAGACCCAGGCCCCGCCCCTTTCCTGCTTGGGGGAAGGGGAGGAGTCGGAGCTTCTGGTCCCCGCCCCCTGCCCCGCCTGGCTCCGCCCCTGCCCTGGGAGAGCGGCTCGGGGCGCTGCCGGGGGCCTGGCCGGCTCCGCCAGCGGCGGGTGCGGGTGGGGTGGGAGGGAGAGGGGTGTGGGTGAGGGTGGGGCTCCCTCCCCAGCCGGCTTTCCTCGGCCCGGCCCGGAACTGAGGTTCAGAGCTTCTTCCTGGTTTGCGCTCTCGCGGGCGCGGGGGTTTGAACGCGGGCCCCGCGCCGTCCCGGGCCTCGGGGCTCTAGGCCCGCGCCGTCCCGGGCCCTCGGGGCTCTAGGCCCGCGCCGTCCCCGGGCCCTCGGGGCTCTAGGCCCGCGCCCTAGCACCGTGAGCCACCGCGCCACTGATGGCTTTTCTTTTCCCCGTGGTTCTTTGGAAGACCAGAGTCTCACAGACGTTCCTGCCCGGGCTGGCTTCGAACTGCCATGCTCAGCTCTCAGCCTCCTCAGTAGCTGGGATTGCAGGCGTGACCGCCGGCGCCCGGCTCCTTCCCGGTGGGCGTGGAGGTCACTGTCCCCATTTTATAGATGCAGAGATGACGGTCGAAACCCGGAGGTGGGGATTTCCCTAAGGCTCTGGCCGGACGAGAACATCCCCGGGGCCAAGTGAGGGCGTCCTGGGGCCAGAGAGAAAAGGAAATCGCAGTATTTTTGAATCACTCAGTCTGGGGAATTGGAGCCCCGCTGCAGTTCAGCTTCCTTCATTTAGTGCTCAGGGCTGGAGGGCTGGGACCCCAGGCGGGCCACCCATCCTGACAACGCTGTAACTGGGTAGAGAGAGATGGCAGGTGAGAAGCTAGCTGAGAAAAGGAAACCCTGAAGCTCACCTCACTCTGTATTTACGAATAATAATAAGTTAACACCCAGCTGCTACCAGAACCATTGCCTAAGGGCTGCGGGTTGCCAGACAGCAAACCCAAGCACTTTCACACAGCTCCAAAAGAACCCAGGCCAAGCCAGCTGCGGAGCTCATGTTTGTAATCTCAGCTACTCTGGAGGCTGAAGTCTGAGGATCGTGGTTCAGAGCGAGTACTGGTAGAAGAAAGTCCATGAGGCTCATCCCCAGTCACACAGAGAGGGGGAGAGCGAGAGAAAGGCAGGCAGCAAGGATTCTTTTTTCTTTTTTTATCTTTTTTTGGCTAGTCCTGGGGCTTCAATTCAGGGTCTGGGCGCTGTCCCTAGCTCTTCAAGGCAAGCACTCTACCACTTGAGCCACAGGGCTACTTCCAGTGTTCTATTGGTTTATTGGAGATAAGCGTCTCAAGGTCTCTCCTGCCCAGTCTGGCTTTGAATCTTGATCCTCAGATCTCAGCCTCCTGAGTAGCTAGGATTACAGGAGTGAGCCACCAGCGCCCTGTTCCCAGTAAGGATTCTTTAACTCCTGTTTCCTGCAGTGAGGGCAGGAAATGACTTGTGTTGGTTTTTTTTTTTTTCTCCCAACTTTAACCTTATGCTAAACAAATGCTTGCTAACACTTTCACCCCGTGGGACTCTCCTCTCTGAAATGCTTTTCATGAATGGGTCTCAAGAACCTATGGGAATCTGAGGGAAGCCCTCATCCATTCTCGGTGACACGGTGGCTGTCTGCCTCTGGACTCCAGCTCCTACTCTTGTAAGTAGTAACTTAAAAGGTGCTTTTGCTGGGTCCTAGGGGAATGAGCTGGAAGGCCTCCCTGCCCTGCACCCGTGTCCTTGGGTCTGAGCTGTTCTCTATTCTTGGCTGCCTTGCCCTTGCACTCACCTTGGGCTCTGGGAAGAAAGAGAGGATTCTGTGAGGAAAGCGTCTGGGGTGGGAGGCAAACTCTCAGATAGGCAGAACCTTCTTATCATGGCCAGAAAAACAGCCCCAACTCGGGAGACCCCGAGAATTCCTCCAGGTGGTCTTCACCACCACTTAGATAAGGTCACCCAGACTATTTTAACTACGCATATCTTTCTAATCCCAATTTCACCCCCTAGTTCTACTCATCTATTCTCCCACCCAGATGGCTGGAGATGTGCTGAAGTACCGTCTGCCCCCCCCCCCCCCCCCGCTGCCTCCGGTGCCTGCCTTACAATAAACCTCCCTTCGCCCTCCGCTGTCTCTATTGGGCATCTGGGGGCTGGTGACTAAACTTAACTTGGGACTCCTGGACTTTGGGCTTAAGGTCTAAATATCTGATTTATCTCCAACTAACCAGCAAAAGACCAGGAGTAGAAGTGTGCCTCAAATGTAGACCAGCCTTGAGTAGAAAAGCTAAGCAGGCGCACAGGACCTAAGTTCAAGCCCCAGTACTAGCTTGTGCACACACATACACACACATTAAATAAATAAATAGCGGTAGCTATTTTAAAATGTCAGCTAAAACAGTAGCTGGAGCCTATATAGCCAGCTACAGATGAACCTGAGGCGGGGAGGCTCAAGCTCCAGTACCAGCACTGAATAAACGGGTCTGGGAAGACCAGCATGGCGGCACATGCCACATCCCACCACTGGGAAAACGAAATCAGGAGAATGGCACTGTACAACAAAAACTCCTCCAAAAGAGGAGGAGAAAGAAAGAAAGGAAGAAAGAGAGAGAGAGAGAAGGAAGGAAGGAAAGAAGGAAGTTAGGAAGGAAGGAAGGAGGGAAGGAAGGAAGGGAAGGAAGGAAGGAAGAAGGAAGGAGGGCAAGGGTCCTGGGTTCAGTCCCCAGCAAGGAAAAAACAAAACAAAAAAGATCATCCTAAGGACTTACGTACAAGTGATTGAAGTATCATCAGGATCAATGAAGATGTTATAGCCCCCAATATAATAAAGCACTACATCAAACGTTATAAATGTATTATTTATTGATTAGGGTGCCTTGGACCTAGAATTGAGTGGGGAAAAATTGCCCCTCCTCCTTCTACACCATGAAGTAAAAGGGAGCAAACCCAGGTCTCCAGTGTGCTAGGCACGGTCTCAACCATTCAACTACACCCCCAAGCCTTAGCACCTGTGGTCTGCATGTGCCGCAGGCCAGCAGCGGGCTGCGCTGGGCTCGGCACTCACTCCCAGGCCCAGACTGACTGAACAGCCTGAGCTGGGGGAGGAGAGTCAGTGATTCAGAGGTAGTGGATCAAATGGTCTTTCCCAGAACCAGAAGTGACATGTCAGCCCTAACAGCTCACTAGCCACAAAGAATCCACGGCCCAACCCAGTCATAAAGGAGCCAGAACGTGCAATCCGGTCATGTGACTGGAAAGTCCATTGCTGGAAATCTTGGGTGAATGGCACTGAAGACTCTATGTCAGAGTCTCCCATCTTGTCAACGCGGGGAAAGACTTGTGGCTCACACCTGGAATCCTGAGGATCCAGGTTTGCAGCGCAGTGCGGGGTGGGGGTGCTGGGAGATAAAGCCAAGGGACTCTTATTTCCAATTAACAAACAAAACACTGAAAGTAGAGGTGTGGCCCAACCATAGAGAATCAGCCTTGAGAGAAAAGCAAAAGGAATGAGAGGCCTTGAGTTCTAGCCCATTCTGTGCCCTTTAACCAAATAGGCTACGAGGGTTCCTTTTTTCTTCTTCTTTTGTTCTTTTTGCCAGTCCTGGGCTTAAACTCAGGCCCTGGGCACTGTCCCTGAGCTTCTTTTTCTCAAGGCTGGCACTCTACCACTTGAGCCACAGTGCCACTTCTGTCTTTTTCTATTTATGTGGTACTGAGGAATCGAACCCAGGATTTCATGCATGCTAGGTAAGCACTCTACCACTAAGCCACATTCCCAGCCCTAGGGTTTCATTTCCTTTATCATTCAAACTTTTTTCCTAGAGGTAGTTAATGGCTACTTCACTTTTTTTTTTTTTAATTTGTTTACCTTTCCGATTTGTTTGGTTTGGGGTTTTTTGTTTGCTTGAGACCTACTTTGTTAAGTTACTCAAACCAATCTCAAATTTAAGGTCCTTTGACCTCAGGATTACAGGCATGTGTCATCATGTCCAGCTTCTTCTTTTCTGATTTGATTTGGTGTCATGAGTGAGGATATAAAAATTAAATTACATTTCTCTCCTCTTTAGGCATAGGGACTGTGCTGCAGTCTGGACTCAAGCCTTCATACCTGCCAGGCAGGAGATGTCATTTGAGCAATGCCTCCAGCCCCCCCCCCCTTTTTTGCACTTGTTATTTTTAGCTAAGTTCTCAGTTTTTGCCCAGGGGTACACTTGAACAGCATTCGGTCTTATTTTAGGTTTCCCATTGTAGCTGCAGTGACAGGTACAGATGCTACTGTCCTGTGTATTTCAAGTCATCAGCAGATTGCTCATACCACAGTGTAAATACATGTAGAGAATTGCTCTAGTTTACTGTTTTTCTTTTTTTTTTGTCTTTCATGAGCTTGAATTCAGGGCCTAGGCGCTGTCCCTGAGCTTTTTTTTTTGCTCAAGGCTAGCTGGTAGTTAATTGGAGATAAGAGTCTCACCAACTTTCCAGCTCTGGCTGGCTTCTCACCATGATCCTCAGATCTCAGCTCCTGCGTGGCTAGGATTACAGGCGTGAGCCACCAGCTCTCAGAGATAGATATATCTATATCTATATCTATATCTATATCTATATCTATCTATCTATCTATCTATATGGTCTTTTTGACTTAGTTTCAGGCAAGTGTTACCAAGAGTTTAAACCAGGCCTTTAATTTTTTTTTTCTTACAAGTTTTTCTTATTTTCTGGGTATTCCTGTTTCATTAAAGAACAACCTGTTCTTGTTTCACGGATGCAGTGTTGACTTTTATCTCTCCCAGAGTAATATGTTTGGTTTATTGCAAGTTATCTTTTGCTTTCTGAGTACATTCCCCCCCCTCGCCCCCCCCCCCTGCTTTCCCTCTTCCTTTTTTATTTTTCTGGTGCCAATATTGGGACTTGAATTCAGAGCCTGGGTGCTGTCCCTTAGCTTTTTTTTTGCTCAAGGCTGGTGTTCTACTACTTGAGCCACAGCTCCACTTCCAGCTTTTTGCTGGTTAATTGGAAACAAGTCTCACAGATTTGGCTCTGAATGGTGATCTTCTGCCTCAGCCTCTGAAGTAGAGTTCAAAGATTTACACTCATTTGTTATCTCACCACACCCAGTTTAGGATTTTCTTGAACTGGGAGAATGACTGACAAGCCTGGAACCTTATTTCCCCAGAGTAGCAGGCGGGGCAGGAGCAGGTAACCCAAGGGCCTGGCAGCTCTCCACAGCCCCCACCGCTCCCTGTCGCCGCAGGCTGGTTTTATTTCCCTTACTATCTGGGTTGCTGCAGGTGTTTGAATCTGAAATCCCTGCTAAGCCTCTGGATCAGCTGTGTGCCCCGGAGTGGAATAAGTTGGTGGAAAGTCTTCCTCCCCAGGCTGCAGGGAAAGGTGAAAATGGCCGAACAAATTTACTGGGGACGTGACCCAGGTGAGAGGTAAGAAGGAAGGGGCTCTGGGGCCGTCTCTCACAACTTAGAACAGTTGAACTGATTGCTAGGGTTGCCTTGAGGATGGAAGCGAGAGCTGCGCAAATGGCAAATGGCTTTCAACAGACTCTGTGACCCTCAAGTTCACGAGGGTTCATTTTATTTGTCTTGTTTTATTGAGGGATAATTGACAGTATAGTTTTAACATATAGTTCCAGGGATTTTGACAAGAGTGTCAAGTCATAATCCAGCTAGGGAGTCATTCCAACACCAGCACCCCCCCTTCCCCCCCTCCATCCCTCCCCTGCCCTGGGTAGGAGGGCCCTCTCCCACCCAAGCCCTTGGCAGCCACTGACATCCGCCATGCTCTTATTGCTTTTCCAGGGTGATATATAAGTAGGGTTTTTCCGAGGAGGAGTAGGGGTGTAACCAATGAAAGTGTGATTAGCCAGGAAGCCTGGGGGCGTGGCTCAAGTGGGGGCAAGTTGGAGGCCAGAGTTCAATACCATCAAAAAGGAGGAGGAGGAGGAGGAGGAGGAGGACACAACAACAACAAGAAAGGGATCTCCATTGTTGGTAGTTCACACCTGTAATCCCAGATAATTAGGAGGCAAAGATCTAGAGGATCTTGATTAGAGACCAATTTAGCCCCCTCCCCCCCCAAAGTTACTGTGACTTCTATTGTAACAAACAAGCTAATAAATAAGCTAGGTGTGGGGAGTTATGCCTGTATTCCCAGCTATGCAGGGAGGGGTAAGAGAATCACAACGGATGGAAGGCAACATCTTTTCTGTGCCTTTCTGCCCTCCACCCATTTTCTTGGATGTCGTAGCACTTGTGCAAATATTTTGCTGTTTCCTTCGTTTTTGACAAGGAAGGATGCTGGCTTTTTTATCATTGCATTCATATATTGGGGTTACAGGTCTTTTATCAGAGGATTACCTGCCAGTCTGAGACTTAGTTTTTCCTTCTCTTGCTTATAGCCTTTTCATCTTGCAGCTGGTGCTCTACCACTTCAGCCATGCCTCTAGTCCAGTATTTTGCTGGCTAATTGGAGTCTTGAGAACTTTCCTACCTGGACTGGCTTTGAACTGCAATCCTCAGATCTCAGCCTGCTGACTAGCTGGGATTCCAGGCGTGAGGCATCACGGGGTGCTGGGCTTGTTATGATGATGATTGTTATTGTCAGGATTCTTGGGGCTGAGGGGATGTTCTCACTGGCAGTTGAGCCCCACCTGCCAGATGTTGCCCTCTAACCTGGGGGGGGGGGAGGGGGAAGCAGGGGCGGGGGGAAGGCAGGGGAGGGCGGCCTCTGGCAGACAGAGGAGTTTGTTGCTGGCTTCGACCTCGTCTGTCTTCCTGAAATCTCCTGCCTAAAACAAACCATGAAGGGCAGGGGAGGCCGTGCGGTCTGGCAGCGTCCCTTTGAAAATAAACAAGTGCAGACACTGAAAGGCAGCCGCTACCTCTGGGGAGAAAGAGTTCAGGCCGGTGCATCCGCTGCGCGTGGCTGGGTAGCTGGAGTCAGGCAGGTGGGACACACAAAGCCAAACTGGATCTGATGCTTCGGAGGAGGGTGCTGCCCCACGCTATGCCCCCCCCCACCCCTGCCCCCGCCCCCCCAGCTACCTACTATGGAGCAGGGGGCCATGAGTTCTGGGGGTGATCAGCCCCCACCCCAGTTTGCACACCGATTATCTTTTTTTTTTGTCAGTCATGGGGCTTGAACTCTGGGCCTGGGTGCTGTCCCTCATTTCTTCAGCTCAACACGAGCGCCCTACCATTTGAGTCACAGCACCACTTCCAGTTTTCTGGTGTTTTATTGGAGATAAGAGCCTCATGGACTTTCCTGCCCGGGCTGGCTTTGAACCGTGATCCTCAGATCTCTGCCTCCTAGGTAGCTAGGATGACAGGTGTGAGCCACTGGTGCCTGGCTACATACATCCTGTCTTCTGGGAACAGCACAAACACAGGAAGTAGGCAGTAGATAGGGACATGGGGGGGGAGGGTAAAGAAACTGATGAGTGTGGTTTTGGGGGAATTTATGGAGATAGAGTAATTTACATTTTCTTTAAATTCACCCACTTTAAATGTACAATTCAATTTTTTTTTTTTTTTTTGCTATTGTCTTGTTTCTGAGACAGGATCTCACTAGACAGCCAGCATGGCCCGGACGGCCCCTTACTCTTCTTGTCTGATTCAAGTGCAGGGGTTACAGATGTGGGCCCCACCCCTTGAGTCAGTTATGCTTTCCACCACAGGGGAAAGCATAGTCTAGGGCAAGGGTTACAAATGTTCCCCAAGGGCTGTATGAAACGTCTTTTCAACTCTGGGGCTAGAGTTTTTGTTGCCATTTCTCAGCTCTTCAGTACTATGGTCAACTTGGAGGTGATATGGAAATAAATGCATTTGGCTGTGCTCCAATTCTATAAAAGCTCTGGGTGGGTGTGATTGTGTGTGTGTGTGTGTGTGTGTGTGCGTGTGTGTGTGTGTGCCTGTACTGGGGCTTGAACTCAGGGCCTCACACTCTCCCTTAGCATCTTCACTCAAGGCTGGTACTGTACTACTTGGACCACATCTCCACTTCTAACATTTTGCTGGTTAAGTGGAGATAAGTTTCTCAGATCTGTCTGCCTGGGCTGGCTTCAAACCACAGTCCTCAGATCTCAGCCTCCTGAGAAGTGAGTATGTGAGCCACAGACCTTTATAGGAACTTTTCCCATACCTCCCTGGCCTCTGTTTTACATTCTGTGTAGTGGGGGAGGTGGATTGTCTGCTCCCAGCCGCCATGCTGGGCCATGAGGAGTCAAATGTACTGTCACTGTGAGTGTCCCTGGGATGCGCAGCTCAGTTAGGTCCACCAAGAAGAGAGAGAAAGCCACCCATGCCACTCGGAGCATCTGTGGGAACCAGTGTCCCAAGGGAGACAGGACCCCAGGAGAGACCCTGAGAGGGAAGCAGGGCTCCGCTGGGGCCTCGGGCCCTGGGGGCTGGAGACGCACCGGGAGCAAGGAAGCCCATGATCCCAGAGCATTAGCCGTGGACACAGAACAGGAACGCAGCCCGCTCACGGCAGCTCTTCCTTTCTTACTGTTGAGCAAGCCAGTCCTGTGAGCTGTGTTTTGTCCAGCGGAACTTCCCCTATCAGGAGCCGACAGGGCTGAATGACCAATTCCGGTACAGACTCTGCAGTGTGTTGGAAAAGACTGGAAAGGGGGAGAGGCAGGCAGAGCCACACGGATGGGCCACTCTGGCCAACAGGGAGCCTTGGCCAGCCGCCCCAGAACTGCCTTGCCACCCCGCCTGAGGAGGCTCACCAGGCCGCAGCAGGGTTTTGGCTGGAAGAGGAAGTGAGTACCAAAGCAGAAATTAAAAAGAAAGAAAATCCAGGCAGGAAGGAGGGCCAAGAACAGGACAGAAGATTCTGGTTCCAGCCAGGACTTGATGCCCGGAAAACAACACAAGGCTGCCATCCACCAGTGGCTTCCCCACACTCCCAGCTCCCAACTCCCAACCTTGAAGGCCAGAGCCTCACATCCAGAATGCAGCAAACAAGCACCACACCAGAGCAGGCCTGGAGAGTGCGTGTGTGTGAAAGTGGGGGATGGCTTTTGTCTAGCTATTTTTATAAGCTTTCTGCATGCTAGGGCTGACTGCACACAAGGGTGCAAGGCACGCACCCTATTACTGCGCTCTACCCTGGATCCCAGGAACAGCTTTCAGAGTGGGGCACTGGCTGGTCATATTAGCTACCCAAGGGTGACCAGTGCCATGCCTACCTGTCCCGTTAGAGCAGCGGTGGCTGGCCTGGCACCCACTGGTGCCTGATGATGGCAGATACCAGGGCAATTCCCCAGGCGAGCAGTCTGGATGTGTAGCCGCAGCTGTGCAGCGCTACGGCAGCTGGGAGGGGACATTTATCCCACGCTTCCTCCTCTTTATACTGTAAAACTACAAAAACAATGTACTCGTGGTTTGAGTTATTTTTTTTTATTCTCCGAAATGGAACCATTGTACATTGTACAAATCGTATCTACTGGATGGAATAAATAAGTGAAAAATTATACTGCTGTACAACACGCCAAAAAAAAAAAAAAGACCTTAAGAGGAAAGAAACAACAAATCAAGGAACGGTGAAAATAAGGTCTCATATACCTCTAACCAGGTCCTTGGCGGTGAAGCACATTCCGAACCGTGACACCACCCTACAGATCGGCCCAGGGCCTTCTGGGTGACGGGTGTTAAGTGCCAGCACTTTGTGGAATGTGTAGCCACAGCTCCCCCACTTTCAAGTTTTTTTCGGGGGGGGGGTTAAGTTTGCCCTGGGAGCCCTTGAGGCCACGGGGCCTGATGTCCACGGAAGGCATTTGCTTAGGACCCCCGCCCCGGCCGGGCCGGCTGAAAGGTCTTCGGTTCTGTGGGGGGAGCGGGCGAGGGGCGCAGGGGCGCGGGCAGCGGCTGCAGCAGGGAAGGAAGCACATAGGATTCTGCAGTCTGACCATTCCGCGTGGAAGGCCTTCCCGGCCAGCATGGAGGGCAGGGCTGCTGGCACTTTGCCTGGCGTGGCCGGGGATGGGGCCACCTGGTCCCCACCGCCAGCCCATTCCTACCTTCAGGCACTTCAGAGAAAAACGAATGACAGCCTGGGCACGAGGCATCATCACCTGCGGCCCAGACTCCCGGACTCTGCCAGCCCCCCGGCCTGTCCCGGAGGAAGGCGGCCCTGGGCCGGCCGCGGCTAGGGATGGGTGTGTTGGCTCCCCTGGCAGCCCTCTCTCTCGTAACCTTCTCATTTTCCAAAAATAAAAATAGTTAAACAAAAAGAAATAAATATCCTCATTTCATCTTTCGTCAAAATGGAGTTTCGCTGCAAAGAAAAACATTGCCCTAGCTCTCTAGGATCCAAAACTGCCTTGACTTGACCTTGAGATCCTTCGGAGGTCGCGTGTCTCCCGGCTTCCTCGGCCAAGATACACAGCAGCTCCCCGCAGAACTGACCGCCCCACGGGCCAAGTGGACAAGTACAAGGATTTTTTTTTCCTTTAAGACAGAAACCTTTCAGCATTGTTAACTTTAACATTGAAGATTTTCAAAGTTTTTTTTTCCCTTATTTCAGGAGACATTTCGCATGAGGTATTTGAAATTCAGGAACATTTTGATTCTTCTTGAAGTGCAGGAAATAGATAAGCTCCCTTTAAAATTAAAAAAAAAAAATCGAGGAGCTTCACCCTCAGAAACTCTTAGAAAAATGGAACCTGGCTGCGGGAGAGAAAGATCCACACATCAAAGGTGGTACCTGCATTATGCACCAATTAGCAAAACAAAAACAAGAACAAAAACCAGAACCCACAGGCCCCGCCCCCACCCCCAGTAACACAACAACTCAAAAGGGAGTCAGAACTCCAGTGCAGTAAAGAAAGCTTAGGAAAAGGCTTAAAGGTCTGAGGAGTCTGTATATTCATTAAAAGCAAACCGGGCCTCAGAACTCAGCAGTCAGGCGGTTCCACCAGGGCCCTGGGTCTCCACCGGCGCGAGCCCGAGGAAGCCCTCCCCGCCTGGCCTGGGCGGGATGGGAACGGGAGATCCGGCTGCTCCTTTCTGGAGGGTGTGCAAATCTTTCCAGTTCCTCTGTGCCTGGTTTTGGGCCTTTGAGGCCCAATCTTCAAGGCCGGCTCCGCGGCAGCCGGCGGCATTGGCGGCGCTGCTAGGAATGAGGCTCTGGGGGGTCAGCACAGGACGCGGGAGCAAGAGGGCTTGCCGGCTGCAGTCTTGCCCGGGGAGCGGGGCAGAGGCAGCAGGTTTCCGTGGATTTGAAATCCACGCAACATCTGTCCCTGTGAAGTTCAGCACCAGCCATTCCTGCCGCCCGCCTGCCCGCGCGCCCCGCTGCCCCAGCCCCGCAGCCCCAGCCCCGCAGCGTCTGCGTCTGCCGCTGGCTAGCTCAGCCAGAGAAGCCACTTTGTCTTCGGAGGCCTGGGAAAAAGCAGGGCTGGGTGGCGGTGATGGTGGGGGAGGGGGAGGAGGGGAAGCGGGAACAGAATCTAAGGGCTCTGCATGCCCTTCTGGGCCACCCCGCTTGGGCCCAGGAGGTCAGTCCTTGGGGGCTGGGCCTCACCCCACCCAGGGCTCAGGGCAGGCCCCAGCAGCACCCCCTGAAATCAAGCCAGCCGAGGGGCACCTGCTCCACCGTGGCTCCACCCCTGCCTGTTCCACGGGCAGGGGGGGAAGAGGGGGGAGGGAGGGGGGAGAGGGGAGAGGAGTATGGCAGTTGCCGCCTCAACCAAAAGGAGGGCGCATTTTGCAAAAAGAGATGCAAAAAACCTAGAGAACATGCCAGAGGTCACCTCAAGGGCACAAGGCACAAAAAAAGAAAGCGGAAGGAATTGGTTGAACAGTGAAAAGCCCCGGATGAAAAGCGAATTCCTGATTGGTACCACCCTCGCATAGCTTATTTCGTTAAATAGAGACGGGGAGGGGATACAGCAGCAACACAAATGGAATCTTGGCTTCCGAGACAGTGTGCGACGCTCCTGAGCCGTGGCCTGCCTCCCGGGAGGCTCGGGTTTGCTTCACAGCAGTTCTTCAGTGTCTTGAGAAGTTACGCCGTTCTAGGTTTTCTTGGATTTGCACTTGGTAAACTTGAAATGTTAGTAGTTCTGTCTGCGCCCAAGAAGAATCGCTCGGGCACCGTTGTTCTAGAATAAAACCTGCTGATGAACACGGACCAGAGGGTTCAACTCAGCGCCTACATCTCCTCCGAGTTCTGTTGACAAGGCTCCAGCTTCATCTTTTTAGAGGGCGGTGCTCCTTCCAAATCCTGGGGGGGGGGGGGGGAGGGGGAGAGAGGGACACTGGTCAATAAAGCATTTTCACACCCAAATGTTCTGGCCATCGACAAAGTCCTGTGTCACCAGCCCAAGCCCGAGCAGGGCCAGGGGTCTTCCCCGCCCAGGCCTCCCGTGTCCCGGGCTGGGAGGGAAGCCATCTGTGTGCGTTTCAGGGTCACCTGCACCAGCTCTGAGGCGGTCTCCCGAAGGCCCAGGGCGGAAGCTCAGTGTTTACTGAATGGACGTGTCACATTATTCTGGGGGAAGAAGAAGCCCCGTGACTCCCCCTACGCCCCCCACAAAAGTTAAAATATCCACCTCGTCACCACCTAGCCATCTCAGACCTCACCCTTCACTGTTCGCAGGCTACCAGCACTGCTGCGCATTCCCCCCATCTTGGTGTGCGCACGGCCTGGGCCCCAAAGGCACTTGCAGCCCCCTTTTTCTCCACCGGCGGCCCCCACGGGAGGGGGCCCGCATGTCAAATTCCAAAGGGTGACCCGGCCTTTAGATTTCTGGGGATTTGTCTTGGCAGCGATGTGGGGTGCCTTCAGCCTCCGCCCAGCACCCGCCAGCCCCCGCCATCCCGGGCCGCCACTAGCCGGGCCGCCTGAGACCTGGCTACCTGAGAGACTGTGCATGTGTCCGCGGCCAGCCCCGACTCTGCGGACGGCTGCCGATCTGCTTTCTCTGAGCTGTTCGAGTTTTCCAGCGAAGGCTGTGAATTCTGCTCCTCAGAAGCATCTGATAGGGGTGGGGGTGGGGCAAGAGGAAAGGAGAGATTTTCAGACATGTACTAAAAACACCGGACACTGTGCAGTTCTGTGGCCTGGCTCTCGGGGATAGTTTGGGGGGTGGGGGGAATGAGACGCCTTTGTTACCAAAGCTGATTTATGCAGCCAGGCCACAAGTGGGCTGCAGGCTGTTCCCGGAGTCCTCAACCCTCCCTTCGGTCCCTACTATTGCCCAATGGAAGGGGGACCACTTTAAAACGCTGCAAGCGCTTGGCGCCCTCTGCTGGGCACAATGCAGCCCAGCAATCGTGGCTGTTGCTTCTCTGGTTTCTGTCAAAGGGAGCTGAACCTTTGTAAATAGTTATCTCAATAACATGAGTGCTTAGCCTGGCAGGGTCGCGCATGCCTGTAATCCCAGCTACTCAGGAGGCTGAGATCTAAGCATCGTGAGTCAAAGCCAGCCGTGGCAGGAACATCAGTGAGACTCTTGTCTCCAATTAACAAGCAAAAGCTGGAAGTGGAGCTGTGGCTCAAGTGGTAGAGTACCAACCTTGTGGAGAAAAAAGCTGAGGGACAGCTCCCAGGCTTTGCTGACAAGCCCAGTACTGGCACAACCAAGAACAAAAATTCAAGCAATTGTAGTTGAGCCACACTCAGCCTGTTTTGCATTGGGTTTTTCTTCAGCTAGCGCCCCCCCCCCCCACTTCTTTGTGTTACTCCTGATGCTTGAACTCAGGGCTTGAGTGCTGTCCTGGAGCGTTTTTTGCTGAAGGCTAGTTATCACAGCTCCACTTCTGGCTATTTTGGTGCTTAACGGAGACTTTCCTGCCTGGGCTGGCTTTGAACCCTGATCCTCAGATCTGAGCCTCCTCAGTAACTAGGCATGTGCCACTGGTGCCCAGCAGATAGTGCCTCTTGATTTTGCCTGGGCTGGCCTTGAATTGAAGTTCTATCTCTCCAGAGTGGCTGGAATTGCAGGCATGTGGCATCACGCCCGGCTCAAATAAATATTTGAACGTTAATGTTCACAACAGCACTATTCAAAATAGGCCAAAGGTGGGAACAGCCTACCCGTAAATGGGCTGAATGGATAAACAGGAGGTCTGTCCATAAGATGGAGCACTCTTCAATCAGAAAGACTGAACTGCAGCACTGAAATGCACTCGTGGGCGAACCTGACGGGAGGCTAACTCCAGAGAAGCCGGACGCAAATGCGTGTGGCCCGGAGGGCACGTTGTCTCCCAGGCCCTGCACAGGGAAATCGCTCCACACGGACCAGAAGCGTGTCGGGACGGGGGACAGGACGAGAGCGAGGGACTGGGGAGTAGGGAGTTTCTTTTTGGGGTGAACTAAAGAGATGGCGGCACAACATAGCAGCAGTTCTACGTGCCAATCGCTGTGCACTTGAAAACGGTGACAGCGTTTTCTCCCGTGGGCCCTGGGGAGTGAGCCCTGGGGCTAAGCCCAGCTCCGCATCGGGAGAGCGGCTGTCTCCGGTGCACCCCCCACTGCCCCCCTCGACCTTTCTTGGGGTTTGCAGAGAGCAGAGGCCTTGGGCCAGGCCGGGCCGCGGGCTGCGGGCGCAGGGAGCTGAGCGCCAGGCTGCTGAAATACACCCAGGGGAAACCTGATTTTCCTGGGGCCTAAATTTAGTCCAGGGAGTTGGCGTCACGTCACTGCCTGAGCTCACGGGGTGGTAAACAAGTTCAGGGCAAGGTCAGCAGCGCTGCGGCCGCGCGGCGCCCCAGCCCTCAGCTGTGCTGTTCCTGCGCCCGGACGGCGGGGCGCGGCCCCGGGCCTGGGGGCCAGGAGAGGACCCCGGTGTGGGTCCAGTCCAAGCCTGGAACGCCTGGGGGCCAGGCTGCGCAGGCGAGAGGGCGTGAAATGCTGGTGACACGCGTGGCCACACGCGTGCAGTGCCAAACACACTCCTGCGTCTGAGATCTGACGGGCCCTGGGTGGCAAAGGGACCCCCAGACTCGGGAGAAGCGGGGCGTCGGGCAGACATCACGAGGGAGGGGACAAAGCTGGGGCACGCCCACAGACGTGCCTGTGCCGGCCCGCACCCCAGCTACCCGCGGCCCGCCCGCCCGCCCGCCCGCACCCCAGCTACCTGCGGCCCGCCCGCCCACACGCACCCCAGCTACCCGCGGCCCGCCCGCCTGCCGCCACCCCGCAGGGTGGCCACTCTTTTTTTTTTTTTTTTTTTTTTGTCGGTCGTGGGGCTTGAACTCTGGGCCTGGGCGCTGTCCCTCAGCTCTTCAGCTCAAGGCGAGCGCTCTACCACTTGAGCTACAGCGCCACTTCTGGTTTTCTGGTGGTTTATTGGAGATAGGAGTCTCACGGTCTCTCCTGCCCGGGCTGGCTTTGAACCGCGATCCTCAGATCTCAGCCTCCTGAGTAGCTAGGATTACAGGCGTGAGCCACCAGCACCCAGCTTAGGGTGGCCACTCTTATTCACCCCATTTTAGGAACAAGGAAACAGGAGGTGCACGGGGGGGGGGGGGGGGGGGGGGGGACGGGGGACTGGGGGTGAGGGGTGGCCGCCTGCCCAGGGCCACATAGTTAGGACGCCAGCCAGGACCCTGGCTCAGGAAGCCCGGGGGTGCCGTGTAGCCGGAGCTGTAAGGGGCAGATGTGAGCAGTGTGTGCTCCCCTCGGGGACATTGCCGGTGTCCCACTGCGGGGGCAGGGACACTGGCCTCTAGTTGGAGGACCCCGGGGTGCTGCTGGCATCCTTTCCTGCAGGGTCACCCCTCCTCCATCTGGGGAAATACCGGCCCTGAGAACTCCTGCTACATCTAGCTATACTTTAGTTCCATCCACCTGTGTGTGTCTGTGTGTGTGCGCGTGAAAGTGTGTGCGTGCGTATGTTGCTAGACAAGCACCATGACCAAATAGGTCTCTTGCAGGGCACAGGTCCCGTATGAACCTGCACAAAGGTACAAAGACACAGGTGTTGGAAACTCCCTAGAGAACTGAGTATTTAAAAGAAAACAAAAGTGGTGGCCATGCGCCGGTGGCTCATGCCTGTAATCTTAGCTTCCTGGGAGGAAAAGACTGGGAAGACCAATGGTTCCAGGCCAGCAAGAGATGGGGATAAGAAAGCTCTAGAGGGGATGGGAAGGTGGCTCAGTGGTAGAGTGCTTGCCTTGTATGCACGAGACCCTGGGTTCGATTCCTCAGCACCATATAAACAGAAAAAGCTGGAAGTGGCGCTGTGGCTCAAGTGGTAGAGTGCTAGGTCTTGAGCTGAAGAGCTGAGGGACAGCGCCCAGGTCCAGAGTTCAGGCCCACGACCCGCAAAAAAAAAAAAAAAAGAAAGAAAGAAAAGAAAGTTCTAGAGCTGGGCACTGGTGGCTCACACCTGTAATCCTAGCTGCTCAGGAGGCTGAGATCTGAGGATCACGGTTCAAAGCCAGCCTGGGCAGGAAAGTCCGTGACTCTTATTTCCAATAAACAACCAGAAAACTGGAAATGGTGCTGTGGCTCAAGTGGTAGAGCACTCACCTTGAGCTGAAGAGCTGAGAGACAGTGCCCAGGCCTAGAGTTCAAGCCCCATGACTGACCAAAAAAAAAGGATGGGGATAAGAAAGTTCTAGAGACCCTATGCCAACCAATAGCTACATACAGTGAAGTATACCTGCCAGTTATACCAGGAAGAATATATTGGAAGATCATAGTCCAGGCCTGCCTGGGCACAAAGCAGGACCTTATCTTAAAAATAACCAGAAGCAGAATGCCGGTGGCTCACGCCTGCGATCCTCACGACTCAGGAGGCTGACATCAGAGGATGGTGGTTCAAAGCCAGTGCAGGCAGCAAAGTCTGTCAGATTCTTGTCTCCAATTAAATGCATACCAAGAAGCCAGAACTGGAGCTGTGGCTCAAGTGGTAGGGCGCTGGCTTTGAGTACAAAAGCTCAGCGACAGTGCCCAGAGCCTGCGTTCAAGCCCCAGGACTGGCACAAAAATAAATAAAATGAAATAGAATAGAGCGAGAGAGGAAAAAAAAAGGTCTGGGAGTGTGGCTCAAGTAATACAGTGCCTGTCTAGCCAGCATGAAGCCCTGAGTTCAAACCCCAGTACTGGAAAAAAAAGAGAAAGTTGGGAACCAATGACCCCGACGGGAAGTCCTGTCTGTCCCGCCCCGCGGCGAACGCTCTGCCCGCCAGGACCAGCCAGGGCTTTTGCTTTTGTGGTACTGGGGATGGCATTCTGGGGCTCACCCCAGCCCGGGCCACCACGCTGGTCCCCTGGTCCCGGAGGTGTTCTAAAAGGGGTGCTACAATCTCACGGGGTGCGGACTGACCCAGTGTGGGGCCGCCTGCTGGGAGACGGCAGCCCCGGGCTGGCTGGCCCACGGCGCCGCGGCCTGGCCCACGCTGCAGCACTGGTTTGTAAGGCGGAGGGCGGCGCCGGGGCGACCGGGCCTGCCTGACAGGTGCGCTGTCCCCGGTCCTTTGCTGTCCGTCTCCACCTTCTAGACAGCCCGGGGTGAGCACCCTCCACCACATGTACCCACAGCCAGCACTGAAACCGTAAGCCAACGTCACCTTCCCTCCTTCCAAACGCACGGCGATGAACACCTGCAGCAGCAGGATGGTTCCGTACGGCGATGCTCTCGCTCTCCGGAGCACGCGGCCCGGGCCCGTCATCCCCACGCCGTGGGGCTCACGAGCGCCACAAACAAGCAAACAAGACATACACCAGGGCCACCATGACACGTCCCCACGCTGACAACCGACTTTCAAACGGCGATGGAAAAAAATAGCTAGATCCCGCCTCCCCCGGCCTCCCCCCACCGGCCCGGTTCAGGCCCCGCCCCCGCCCTGGCCCTCCGCTGCTCGTCCTCTGCTCTGAGCTGCTCTGTCCTGTGCTGAGCTCTGAGCTCTTTGGTGGTGTCACCCCTGGCTGCTGCCAGGCACGGCGGCCTTCGGAGCTCATCACACTGGAAGCCCAAGCTCCTCTCTGACCATGTTACTTTGCTTTTATTTTACTTTTATTTAACTTATGTGGCACCGAGGAATCGAACCCAGAGCCTCATGCATGCCAGGCAAGCGCTCTACCATTAAGCCACATTCCCAGCCCCCCCAAGTTACTTTTCTAGACTTCTGTCCACTCTTCTCCCATCACCCCCACCCCTGCTCCTGCCTCAGGGCCTTTGCACTGCCTGCTCCTCTGCCTGCAATGCTCAGCTGGGTCGCCTCAGCGGGGATACATTCTCTTACCTCTCTTCTGCTGTCATGGTATGGGGCTGGCATGTGACAGGGCCTCCCTAAATACCCGTCCCATGACTGACTTCAGGCTGGCTGGAGAGTGACCCCTCCACATCCCTGCCCCAGAGGGCAGCGTTGTACCTTCAGTCCCGGGGTGCTCCTTCCCGTCCGTCTGCACCTCGTCTGCCTTGGCTTCGGCGCCATCACTGGGCGCGGCTGTGGTGGGCTCTGGAGCGGGGCTGGAGTGGCTGCTGTTCTCCTGCTTGATGGGGGAGGCGTCCGCTATGGAGCTCTGGTTGCTGTTGTCGTCTGTGTGGGGGAAGAGGGCGCAGATGACATGGGCAGCGGCGGCGGAGAGGCAGGGGTGAGGCTGAAGGGGTGGGGCTCAGCCGCCCGTGCCTCAGTGCTTAGAGCCCCGCCGGAAGCTCTCCCAGGAAGGCGCAGGTCCGCCGCCGGCTCCTGGCTGCCCCGGCCGCCCTGGCTCCTGTGAGGCACAGGATGCTGAGCGCGGCCTGGGCCGCCGCTGCCCAGCTCCCGCTGGGCAGTGTCCGGAGGCCCGACGTGTTCCTTTATATTACTATTATTGTTATTTTGCCGACATATTTAAAATATCTAATTCTGGAAGAAGACAGCCAGAAAATGTCTGCATGGAACCACAAAGCAATATGAAGAACAGACGTGATCCACGAAACCAGAACACTCCACACCTCTAGACTGACTTCGGTTACTGCACAATAACGGGGGAAGGGAGGTGGGGCTCAGTTGGTGGAGTGCCAGCCCGTAGAAGGCAGGAGGCCTTGCACACGCGCACACACTCACAGCAAGAAAGGAGGGATCGGGGAAGATTGCCGAAGATGAAAGAAACTTGAGAGAACGGAGGAGGAAATACGATGCATGGACATAACTTGGGTCCGCTTGGAAAGTGCCCGCTGTACCACACTGTGGCGCCATTGGGAAAATCTGCGTATGGTCTGCGCTTTTCAAGCTATTGCAGAATTACTGCTGATTTTGTGAGACGTGAGCGTGGTACAGCGGGCAGAGAGAGATGCCACTGGCTGGAGTGCACGCAGGAACGCACCGGACGGCGCGGTGCGGCCTCCAACATCGGGCTTCCGAGTGCTTGCCGCAGGCCGCCCCCGCCCTGCGGGCCGCCCTCCATGCGCAAGGGCGGCGCATGGCCTCCTGTTTATTTAGAAAACTTCACCCACTAGAAAAAAATGGATGCAGCAAACGTGGCCTGGTGTTTATAAAACTGCAGATACCCAAGGGGTCACTTAAAAAGTATCACTATCTAGCCGGGCGCGGTGACTCGCACCTGTAATCCCAGCTACTCAGAAGGCTGAGACCTGAGGATTGAGGTTCAAAGCCATCTCAGGAGGGAAAGGCCGTGAGACTCTGATCTCCATGAACCACCAGAAAACCAGAAGTGGCGCTGTGGCTCAAGTGGTAAAGTGTTAGCCTTGAGCTGAAGAGCTGAGGGACAGCGCCCAGGCCCAGAGTTCAAGCCCCACAACAAAAAAAAGATAACCTGCCAGGCGCTGGTGGCTCACGCCTGTAATCCTAGCTACTCAGGAGGCTGAGATCTGAGGATCACGGTTCAAAGCCAGCCCAGGCAGGAAAGACCGTGAGACTCCTATCTCCAATAAACCACCAGAAAACTGGAAGTGGCGCTGTAGCTCAAGTGGTAGAGCGCTCGCCTTGAGCTGAAGAGCTGAGGGACAGCGCCCAGGCCCAGAGTTCAAGCCCCACACCCGACAAAAAAAAAATAAAAAGATAACCGCCAGTCACAGTGCACCTAGAGTCAGGGCAATTAAAAAAAAAAAGGCCCCAACATTCCTGGGTACTACTCTGTACCAGGCTCTGAGCAAAAACATGTATAGTTCACCTTTTTCTTCTTGGTTTTGGGGCAGTACTGGGGCTAGAACTCAGTTATGAAAACACTGGTGCCTGGCTCTCTGAGCCTCAGTTTCTTCATCTATAAAATGGACCTTGCTATTCATGCTGTGCTGTGCCACCTTCTTAACCGTAGCTGTTAAGACTCAAAAGCTTTTTTTTTGGTCGGTCGTGGGGCTTGAACTCTGGGCTTAGGCGCTGTCCCTGTGCTCTTCAGCTCAAGGCGTGTGCTCTACCACTTGAGCCACAGTGCCACTTCTGGTTTCCTGAGTGGTTTATTGGAGATGAGTCTCATGGACTTTCCTGCCTGGGCTGGCTTTATACCTTGATCCTCAGATCTCAGCATCCTGAGTAGCTAGGATTATAGGCGTGAGCCACTAGGGCCCAGCTGACTCCAAAGCAGCTTTTAAGCAGTTACTGACTTGTCACGGTGACTCTCAGGCAGTGGGTATTGCTGGGCACATCCCATGGATTTAAATGCGGTGGAGGTTGAATGAGTAGCCCAGGCTCCATGGTATAGCCTGGACTGGTCGCCTGACCTCTGTCCTACAACGTTCCCCCCCATACCCACCCCCACCCCATCCAGCCTCCAATCCCCAGCCAGGCCACACTCCCAAGCCCCACTACCGACACACACATAAAAAACAAAACCAAAAACAAAACAGAGCATTTATGTGTGAATCTGGTTTGTGGCTTTCTGTAGGGCAGGAACCAGCAGGAGGGGTTCGAGGGCTCACTGTGGCTGGCCAGGGAGCTGGGTGTTCTGAGCTAGGCTGGCTGACATGCGCGTTTCATGAAGCCACACGAGGAAGAGAAAACAACACCAGCAAGGAGGAGACCCCAGGACACAAGTTAAATCATACTACTGGACTACACTTCACAGAGGACACGAGTCACAATTGTGTGTTGTGCGCGTGCGTGCGCGCGGTGTGCGTGCATACGTGTGTGTGTGTGTGTGTGTGTGTGTGTGTGTGTGTGTGTGTGTGTGTGTGTGTGTGTACAAACACTAGGCCTTGGACTCAGGGCTTCTTGCTCTGGCTTGGCTTTTTTGCTCAAGGCTGGTGCTCTATTACTTGAGTCACACCTCCATTTGATAGTTAACTAGAGATAAGTCTCACAAACTTCCCTGCCCGGCTGGCTTTGAACTCTGATCCTCAGATCTCTCAGCCTTGTGAGTAGCTAGGATTACAGGCGTAAGCCACGGGTGCCTGTGGCTTTCAGGCTACAAGCTTTAAAATCAAGGCGGCCAGCAAGCCGGACAGGCAGGGTGGGTGAAAGGCGCTGCAGGCGCTGCCGAGGTGAACTGGACGTCAGAGCCCAGTCCAGAGTGTGCCAGTAGCAGAGCAAGACGGAAGTGGACAATGCACTCACTGGTCTGGTATCCCAGCCTGGGAGGAAAAAGAAACATATACCCTCCAACCCCCACCTGGGCACACAGGGCCCATGGAAATGTCTGTGAGCTTGGTCTCGAGTGGAGAGAGGGTCTTGTATTTATAGCCCTGGTTTCTCTGTGTTTCTTGGCCTGGTGCACTGGGGTAAACAAACTTGCCCTCCTTCACGGAAGCCTTCTCCTTGGCACAGAGGCCTCTCGCTCTTGCCCAGCCCTCCTACCCCTTGCCTGGAATGTGAACAAACCTGCTGGAAAAACAAAAACACAACTGAGAGCGTCGCAAAGGCTGGGCGCGCGCGCACACGCGGAGACGCGGGCAGAGGCTCTCCTGCGGTGCTCACCGTGCATGTCCATCATCCCCGGAGACGAGCTGTCCTCCGGAGTGGTCACTTCCGAGCCGCACTTCTCGTCTTTACCCTTCTTCTTATTCTTGTTTTTCTGGAGGGGAAAATGGGAGGAGAAACCAGGTAACTAAGTTGTGCGTGTGTGTGTGTGAGCGCGCGTGTGCACAGAGGCACACATGCCAACCCCGGGGAGCGGTAGGAATGTCGGATTCCTCTGGTCAACTTGGAGCCCCCAAGTCTCGGCGGCGCGGGCCGTGCCCACGCCGGAGTTGTTTTCTGGGGCCAGGCCAGCTACCGTGCCCTGCAACAAATCACGCCTGTCTGTGGGGCCATCACCTGTGGCCTGCACACACCACGCTGGCAGAATGCTGCTTCTCTCGGGAAAGGCCACCCACTGCCCCGTCTGAAGCCATGCACACAGGAGCCCGGGACACCCCCCCCCCCCCCCCCCCCGCCAAAGCTCTGGCAGTCCGGCCCCCCGGGGGCTGCCTTCCTCCAAGTGTTGTGAAGGATAGAAAACCCAGAGGGGTGGAGGTGAAGGAGATGCTTTTGGTGCCATCCTATTTTCATCTTTTTTTCCATCAGTGCTAAGAATCATACAGGGCCGTGCCCATGCTGGGTGGGCATACCACCAGAGCCGCAGAGAAGCATGTTAGAAACCAGCGCTGTCCATCAGTACGCAGCCTGAGAGCTGAGCATCGCAGCTCAAAGCTAGACCGGGCAGAAGAGACTTTTTTTTTTTTTTTTGGTCGGTCGTGGGGCTTGAACTCTGGGCCTGGGCGCTGTCCCTCAGCTCTTCAGCTCAAGGCGAGCGCTCTACCACTTGAGCTACAGCGCCACTTCCGGTTTTCTGGTGGTTTATTGGAGATAGGAGTCTCATAGTCTCTCCTGCCCGGGCTGGCTTTGAACCGCGATCCTCAGATCTCATTTTTTTTTTAATCTCCAAAAAGCCAAAAGTAGAGCTGTGGCAACAATGTCAGTGGTAGAGTGTCAGCCTTGCGCAAAAAAGCTAAGGGCCGAGCCGGGCTCTGGTGGCTCACACCTGGAATCCTAGGTGGCTGAAATCTGAGGATCATGGTTCAAAGCCATCCCAGGCAGAAAAGTCTGTTGAAACTATTACCTCCAATAAACTATTCAGAAAAAAAAAAAAGTAGAGCTGTGGATCAAGTGAAGCGGTAGAGCGCTAGCCTTGAGCACAGAGGCTCAGTGACAAACCCAGCCCCGAGTTCAAGGCCTAGGACCAGCACTAAATTTTTTTTTTTAACTTTTTCTGCTTATGTGGTACTGAGGAATCAAACCCACGGCCTCATGCATGCAAGGCAAGCGCTCTACCACTGAGCCTCCTTCCCAGCCTAGTGAAAAAATTTTAAATTAATTCATTAAAAGTAAAAGAGTTGTAATCTTTAAAAATAAAACAGTGTTACTGTATAATAATCGGGTACTGTCTACAGCAACAAAGGGTTTGTCACTTCACATCGTGGATTCCAGCCCCAGCCCTCCCGGGTTCTGAATCTACCATCTGGGGGCAGGGACCAGGAATCCACATTTTAGTGACTGAGCTGGGCTGGGATCCGTGGCCTGGCACGGGGGGGAAGGAGAGAATGGGCAAAATGGAGTACTCTGCCTCCTGGCTCAGAGGGGAGACGGGTTAGCACCGTGCCCTCTTCAGGTGACAGACTGCATTTGCTCAGCATAGAAACGTCACCAAGCACCCCCCAAAAAACAAAACAGGAGCACTAGCCCTGCCCAGCGCGCCTGCCGCCCATCCGCAGCGGCCTGTGACTCCGGCCCGCAGCTCTGCCCCGCCCTCCGGCGGCCGGCCTATTACACTTTCTCCTTGGTCAAGTTCCCCTTGGCACCTCCCTCATGTCTGTTTCATGCTATTCTATAATTATCTTCCCCAACGAGATTAGACATTCCTTGAGAGCAGGGAACACATCTTCTCCAATGCAACAGGCGTTTCTCTACCACCTAACAATGGCAAGGCCCAAGCCAGGAGCCGGCAGCCAGGAGCCGGGCTGCGCTGCTCGCCCGTCAGAGCCTCACGGAGGGACTGAGGCTCCCGGAAGGGACAGCACAGGCCGGCCAGCCTGTGACAGATCTCACAGTCTTAGCCCTGCTTGGAGCCCCAAGACCTGTTAGGCCAGAAAGTGAAGATGGCAGAGAGAGCCACTCCAGCTCCCTCTAGTGGAGGCCAGCCAGACTTCCACGTCCCACTGGGAACCTGTTCCAGTGCCCCTGCTCCCCTGTTCCCACCCCGCCCCGCCCACCCAACTCCACCATCAACCCCAACCATCAGAAGGCCGATGACCCTGGGAAAGTGGCTTCACCTCTCTGAGCCGGTGTCCTCCCTGACCTCTGAGGAGAGATCTAAAGGCGATCAACTCCACAGGTGCAGCCTGAGAAGTGGGCAGTTCTGTGAAGCCTGGACCCAGGGCTGGGAGGACGGTCAGTGCTTAGTGCCACAGTGGGGCGGGGGGGGGGGGGCAGCCCTGTACTGGGTCCACTCCCACGGGCAACCCGGGCCTCAGCACAGAAGACACAGCTTACACCTCGGAGGGCGGGACCATGAGGGGTCGGACACAGGTCCAGCAGTCTAGACCCAATCTGGGCCCTGGCACCTCCTGGCGGCACTGGCCCAGGGCCCCATGGCAGCGGGCAGCAGCGGGTGGCAGGCTCCCCTTCCGTGGGCGGCCCCACCGCAGGAGACCAGCCTCACACTCACATCGTCAACCTTCGGCTCTGTCACGGGGACCCACTTGTAGATCCGCAGGGATGTGTCACCAACAGTCACCCACTTCTTCTCCCTGCAGAGGAGGAGGAAGAGCCTGTCATGGGGCTGCGGGGTCAGCCGCTCTGCTCCCTGGGGACAGCGCAGGTCGTGGCTCCCCCGCGGTGGCCAGGGCAGCGGGGCGGAGCGGGTGCTGGAGGACCATGCTCGGCCCTGGCCCGTGGGGCCTCTGGACAAGCCACAGGGTAGAAGGAGTGCACGTCCACCCCTTGGCCCCCCCCCCCCCCCCGCTGGCTGGAGTCCCGGAGGCCGACGGCGGCTGGGGGAGGCCCACCCTCCGTCCAGGGGGACAGATGCCAGGGCCCCCGCTGCGAGGCAGGCTTACGGATGAGCAGAAAATGACACGCTGTGAGAAGGCAAGGTGGGGGACAGAAATCCCTGCTCGCTCCCCCCTGCCACTCGGCCTTCTAGATGACTGTGTGCCCCGCCCCCCGTCACTCCCGCGCTAAACACCCAGAGACCGCGCATCTGAGGAGCCGGGCCTTGGGGGCACCTCTCCCCCACCATCTCGGGGGGGGGGGGATCTGCTCCCTGTCTTCGAGGAGCCTAGTGAGTCCAGACGCGCCCTGACACGCAGGCACAGCACAGGGCCACCGAGGGCCCCCCAAGGAAGCTCAACTCCTGCTGGAACCCAGCGCTCCATGGCCCGAGGACGGTCTCCTTGTTGGGCTCTGCCCCCGTGCGTGTGCGGCCCTGGCACGCCGCCCCCCCTTGCAGCACCCCACCTGTGTCAACACAGACTTTTAGGGGCCCAAGCACAGCTCCGGCTTCTCTACAGGCCTAAGTGGCAGCAAATGTCACCTCCCCACCTGACAGATAGAGACACCGAGGCACATGGAGGTGAACTTCTTTCCAAACCTTTGACTCTGTGCTTTGTTTTGTGGGAGACCCTGTCAGGCCCCAGACCTACCCCTTTTAGAAGGGAGTGACTTCTATCAAGGCAGGTGATGAGGGGGTCCCGTGTGTCCCCCAGCCCCCCGGCTTTCACCATCTCCACTGACTCATCCGCCGTCGCTCAGCTCGGTGACTGGCAGTGCCGCGACCACCGCGCCGTCCTGAGCCCGGGCCCACCCTGCGCCAGCCTCCGCAGCAAGCCCGGCGCACACAGGAACCCCCAAAGGGCCAAGGGAGGGCCCTCTGCCACCCAGGGGTAGATATTGAAGTGGGAGGTTGGGGGAAACTGTGTCAGTAGGTGACAAAACAGAAACTGGGTTCAGGTGCCGACTCCAGAGTCCACCAGCGTCTACTGTCCGAGAAAAGCATGGGTTCATCTTACCAGAAGCCGGACAAACAAGCCCAGACTGTTAGAATCCCACACAAACGGCCAAGGCCACTCCCTACCCCCCAGCCTGGGCTCAGGAAATCAACAAACTCAAGACGCGCACGCGCAAAGCTCTGGACTTCACAGGGGCACTGGCCAAGATGTCTGAACCTCCTGGGGGCTTCAGGCACTGAGGGCGGGCCACGAGCTGAATAAAGCTGGCTTCTTCCAGATCCTTCTACTTGCGCTGGCCCATCCGTCAGTGGAGCCAGTCCCCAAGTCAACCCAGGGATGGAACAGGCTCTTTGGGATGTTTATTGTTTTTGTTGGTCCCGGGGCTTAAACCCAGCTCTTTTTAGTCATGGCTAGTGCTCTACTACTTTAAGCCACTAGTCCACATCTGCTTTTCTGGTGGTCAACAGGAAATAAGTGTCTCATGGACTTTCCTACCCGGGCTGGGCTGGCTTTGAACCATGATCCTCAGATCTCAGCCTCCTGAGTATCTAGGATGACAGGCGTGAGCCACCAGCACACCGCCCTCAGGGGCATTGTTGGATGTGAACATGTTGGGGGCTGTAGGACAAAGGCAAGGGTGCTTTTCAGAAGCTGACCTTGGAACTGACCTCTGACTGACTTGCTCAGTGGCCTCTCTGGGAGAGGCTGGGGCTGGGCTCGCAGATGTCAAGCTAGCACATGGGCTCAGAGAAGCAGGGGAGGCTTCCTTCCCACACTGCCATCCCCCACCCCCCCTCCCTGCATCCAGGCCTTCAACCCAGAATGCAGCTGCTCCCATGGGGCGCTAGGCGGCTCCCATTACCTTAAGCGAGGGTGACAAACACAGCCCACAGGGATGTTTGCTCTGGCCCGTGCACTACTTTTAAAAATTTGATTTGATTGCCAAACTTAAAGACGAAGAAAAAAAGACTCCAGATATAAAGGCAATCTGGGACAGCATGTCCTGCGGAGCGACGGCTGGCTGCAGGTGGCACACCACCACTCCGCGGAAACCCTCCACTTGCAGTGTGTACGCACGGGGGCTGCGCCCCAACAGAGCTCCGAAGCTGCCCTGGGCACCCCCCGAGCCCTCCTCACTGGATGGCCCCTTCCTGGCCAATGTGGCGGCAGCGCCTCTCTCTTCCCATCAGACTTCCTGGGCTGAAACGGGGTCCCAGATGAAGGAACACAGCCCCAGACACTCCTCACCAGCATGGACTCCTATACAAACTACACACACCCAACCCAGATTCTCCAGACAAAGGCCAAACTCCAAGGTTCTCCTGGGTCTGGGTGCTAGGGCTAGCCAAGGCGACCAACCATCTGGGTGTCGTGAAGCACCAACTCTGAGAAAGGGTCCCTCACTGCCTACTCACTATGGGCCATACTGACACCCTGACAGCGTAGCAGGAGACCCTGACTCACAGCTGACCCTGACCCACAGACTGGGGTCCACGTTACCTACATTGCCTGGCAGCACACCCCGAGACGCCCAAGTGGGGCCCGAGGTGCTAGTCTCCACCTTTCCATGGGAGTAGACCCCCCATCTTCATAACAAGTAACCGGTGGGACCCCAGTCCAAGGGCTGAGGGGCCCCCCCAACCCTGTGCTCCCTGGCAGCTTGTCACCCACCCAATGAGTCCCCTCCCCTGCCCTTCTCCACCCACCCTGAACCCCGTTTCCCACACAAGAACCCACCATTTTGTTTCCCTTCAGCCATCTTCTGGCTGCCTGTCTCCCAGCCTGCCTGGCCAGGACAGCAGACTGAGAGGAGAGGAGAAGCGGCGGCGTGAGAGCCGGGGAGCCCCGCTGGCCGCCCGCTTTCTCCCGCGGGGCTAGGGGCAGGGCAGGGGGGCTGTGGGGAGCCACCGGGACATGCCTCAGCCTGGCATTTCTTCCGAGCTGATACAGAGGCCCAAATGCCTCAGTTCTCCTCTGGTAACATGTAGGACACCTAGTTACACTGAAATTTCAGACTGAAGGATTCATGTTCGGGTGTGAGTGTGTCCCAGACACCACATGGCATGCACATGCACTGAGAAACTTCTTTTGTTGCTGTAGTTGGTGCCGGGGATTGAACCCGGGGGCTTCCTTGTGCGCGCTCAACTCGTGTTCTACTACTGAGCTGAATTCGCAGCAGACACATTTATTTTTAAAAATCACTTCGTTATGAATCTGAAATTCAAATTTAACTGGGTGTTCTGTGTTTTTATTTGCTAAATCTGGCAACTCTATTTCCCAGCCTGTGAGATGCTTGGTTGGTGGCCACAGTTAATCAACAACCCCAAAGCCTACAGGGCTGGCGGGAAGACCCAGTCCAAAGGCACCACAAGGCCAGGGGCAGGGACAGGGGGGAGGGCTGGGAAAAACACAATAAAACTACACTTCTGCTTACAAGGGGGCAAAACAACACACACACACACACACCAAAAAACATGTATAAGCACTCCTGAGCACTTTATGGGTCTGACCTTAAACCAGCCTCATAGGCGGCAGAGGGGAGGGGTCTGCAGGGCCCCCGTGCCCCCCAGGGTTAAAGCAGTGGGTTTTATGTGTCACCCAAGGTCCAGGCACAGAGGTAAAATGGAAGCCCAACCAAGAGAGGCTGAGGTTTTCAGAGACGGGACGGGCAGCACTGCGTCTGGAAGCAGGGAGGAAGGCAAACCTGGGCGCATCCCAGCCCCGCGCCGGCCCACAGCAGGCTGGCCAGGCCGGCTGGCCCGGGCCTGGCGCTCCGGGGCCGGCGCCCGCGGCGTGGAAAGCCCCATCTGCTCTCCCTCGAGCAGCTGGCAGCGCGGGGCCCAGCTGTCAGGGCCAGGCCGGGAACCTGGGGCCGGAGGCTGGGCCGCACCTCCAGGAGCCGGCGGGGGAGGGCGGCGGGGGCCTGACCCCGGCCCTGACCCCGCACAGCTGGCGGGGGGGGGGGGGGGGGACCCCCAGGACGGTGTGCTCCCTCCGAGTGTGTGTGTTGGCCTACGGCTGCTTCTGCCATCTGTAAAGGGTTGGGGTCGGACCCCGGGCGCCCCGCAGGACGGGCTCAGCTCTGGTCAGCCTCCTCCTCGGGCGGAGGGCTCATTCTTTGTCCCACTGGAGCCGCACCGGCCCGGCCCGGCCCGGCGCCCGCGGACGCCCTTCCCGGGAGGCCGGAGCACGTGGGCTTTATTGATTGACCCTCGCCTTCTGGGGGGGTTTGGCGAGCTGGTGACGCCGCCAGGCCGGGGTCGGGCCGCCCGTGGGTTCCGGACGCCAGAAACGACACCCGCCGCCCCCGGACAGCGGCGGCGCGGCGGGGCCTGGCCGGCCAGGCGCGGGGTGGAAGGCGGGGCGGGGGCCCGGCCCGGGGGAGGCCGTGGGAAAAGCAGGATGAAGTTGAGACCCGGCGCGGGGCGGCGAGTTTTCCTCAAGTCCGAGCAGACCCGGCGATGGCGCGCGCCCGGGGCCCGGCGGGCGAGACCCCCGCGGAGGCCGGGCTCCAAGCAGGCCACGCGGGGTCCGGGCGCGAGCGGCGTGGGACGCACGCGGCGCCCCCACCCCGCAGCCGGACCCCCGCCTCCGGCAGAGAACAAAAACCACGCTCCGTCCGCGGACACAAACGCGGCCGCTGGCTGGGGAGCGGCGGCCGCGGCCCCGGACGGGTTCGTGGGCGCCCCCATCTTCCCTCCTCGCCCGGAGCCCTCGCTCCAGGCAGCCCAAAGCGCTAAATTTAAACGGCTGGCGCTCGGCAAACTCCGCAGACTCGAGGGCGCTGGGCCTGGGAGGCGGGGAGGGCGGGGAGGGCGGCGCGGGCCGGGCCGGGCCGGGGCGCGCGGCGCGGCGGCGGCCCGATCGCTGCCTGCACAATGGAGCTCGCGCTCTGCCCGCCGCCGCCAGCCCCGCGGCCCCGGCGCGCGGGAAGCCGCTTTCATGTGACTTGCACAAAACGAAATGGCTTCTGGGGCCGGCCCCGACCCCCCCCACCCCCGCCGCCCCCTCCCGGGAGCCGCGCGCCGCGGCCGGGGCTCGTCCGCCGCGCCGGCCGCCCGGCTCGGGCGCCCCCGCCGCCTCCGGGCTGCGGGCACCGCCGCGCCAGCCGGGCGCCGGCGCGAGCGCACCTGGGCGGCCGCGGGCCCCCGCCCGGCGCAGGTGACCCGGCGGCCCGCGCGCCGCCCGCTCGTCCCCGCCAACTCCGGGCCCCGCGGCGCTGCGTCCCGGGGCCCCGGGGCTCGCGCCGGGCGGAGCGGGGCGGGCGGGCCGGCGCCGCGGCTTACCATTTGCGCACTTTCTCGATAGCCGCCATGACCCTCTTGATATCATCTTTGGCCCGGCTCCTGGTCTCGGCTCGAACCGACCTGCCCGACATGGTTCTGGCGGGGAGAGAGCTGGGGAGCGCGCCCGCCGGTCCTGCTCGGCTCCGCGGCGGCCACGCTCGCTCGCGCCCGCCCGCCCGCCCGCCGCCCGCTCACACACAGACACCGACACAGACACACACAGGCACAGACACGGGCACAGGCACAGCCGGGGCACGGGCGCGGGCGCGGGCACGGGCGCACACGCGCGCGCACACACACACGCACACAAAGCCCGGTGTCGCCGCGCGCCCGGGGCCCAGTGCGCAAGCGCCGGGCGCCAGCTGCACCGAGCCAGGCGGAGCAGCGCCGCCGCCGCCGCCGGCGCCGCGACCTCCGGGCGCCGCCGGCCCCGCCGCCGCGCTCCCGGGCAGGGGCGCCGGACACCCGGCCGCGGGGCCGGCGCGCGGAGGGCGCGGGCGCGCGGGGAGGCGGCGGCGCCGCGGGGCCTCCCGCGCCCTCCCCGGCCCCCCCCCCCCGCCGGGCCCGCCCCCCCTCCCCCGGAGCCCCTCGCCGGCCGGCTCCTGCCCCGGGCCCGGAGGCGGCGACTCACCACGCGAGGGAAGAGTTGGGGGCTCGCGACGGCCCCGTCTAAGGGCACCAGCCAGGGGGGCGCCCCCCACCGGCTCCGCCCCTCGGAGAATCCGGGTCGGGAAGATGGCAGAGTCCGGGGATTAGCTGCGCCCGCCCCTCCTCCGTTACGTCCCGGACCAGGTGAGGGGACCAGTGTGAGGACCCCAGCCTAGCCCCGAGCCGCTCCTGCTGGAAGCGCCTGACGCCCAGACCGGGGCTGCTGGGGCGCCTACGGCCCGGCAGAAGAACGGACCTGTTTTTATCTGTATTTATTATTATAGATTTACGTATACTTACTACGGAGTGTACATAGGTCTGTTGACTAAACAATGCTGTAGAATATGTATTCACAGGCATACGTTGCATATTGAATACTATATAATTATATAAATATATTTTAAATAGGAAGATATTATGTCAACAATTCAGCCATCAACAGAGGAATGGCTGTCTCTCCACACAATGGAATATTACTCAGCCACAAAAAGGAAAGAATTGGTACCGTTAGGAGGAAGAGTCGACTTGCTTGACAGCATGCTGAGTTACCACGGATGGGCTAGCGCATGGTTCCACTTACATGAGCTCTAAGCTCCCCAGATCCAGGGAGACCAACCTCCATCAGAGGTTGCTGGGAACTTAGAGGGAGGATATTTTCTTTGGTAATAATGTAAAGTTTCCGGGACTAGATTAATGTCCTTGAATTGTACACTTTAAAATGGTTACAGATGGCCAGATGCCAATGGCTCTCCCTTGTCATCCTAGCCACTTAGGAGGCTGAGATCTGAGAATGGCTGTTCAAAGCCGGCCCAGGCAGGAAAGGCTGTGAGACTTGTGTGCGCGTGCGTGCGTGCGTGCGCATGCATGCGTGCATGTGTGTGCGCTAGTTCTGGGGCTTGAACTCAAGAGCCCAGGCCTGAGCCTTTTTGTCCCTGAGCCTCTTTGTGCTCAAGGCTAGTACACTCTACAACCTGAGGCACAGCACCACTTCTAGCTTTTTCTGAGCAGTTTCTTGGAGACAAAAAGTCAATTTTATGTTGCATAAACTTGACCTCCATAAAAAGAAATCCAAATATCCAGCTACTCAGGAAGCTGAGATCTGAGGATAGAAGTTCAAAGCCAGCCCAGCCAGAAAAGTCCATGAGACTCTTATCTCCACCACCCAAAAGCTGGAAGTGGAACTGTGGCTCAAGTGGTAGTGTGCCAGCCTTTAGTGAAAAAGCCAAGGGAGAACACAAGGCCCTGAGTTCAAGCTCCAATACTAACACACACACACACAAGCTAATCCCCGGGTTACGGAAGGAGTTGTAGCTTGTGTCAAATGCCTTGAACTCTTGGCCTCTCGTGTCAGAGGCACGGACACCTTCTAGGGCTGTTACGAGGATTAAACACAGTAAGAGGTCAAGAGGTTGGGAGAGTGGGCCGAGCACGCGAGTGTGCAGTGCACGCACTCAAGGCAGGGCCCCTCTGCTGCCTTTGCGAAGCCCAACCTTCAAGACTGAACTCAGTGTCCTCCTTTTGAGGTTGCTAAATTCAACTCCGAACCCCCTCCTGGGCAGGCTGGAGGCCACTTCTCAGGCGGAAAACATGTTGCTGTGCGGGAGCTGCCGGCCGGGCCTCTGCTGCCTAGCAACCCCCAGAGCGGCGGGTGTGGCTGTCAGCAGAGGTGCTCTTGGGTTTGGGGAACAAATCCCCAGCTAGGTCCAGGAAAGGGAGAGAAGTTTGAAGAGAAAATTCTAACTATAGAATAAAATATGGTCCCTTCCTGAGACAGGACTAGAAAAGACACGTTGGAGAAAATGACATACACCATTGAGACCCCCATGAGTCCTGGCAGATACAAGGAGAATAACCACCCACTTTTTTTTTTTTTTTTTTGGGTCTGGTCATGGGGCTTGAACTCTGGGTCTGGGCGCTGTCCCTCAGCTCTTCAGCTCAAGGCGAGCGCTCTACAAATCCTCTAGGATTTGTCTGCCTAGACCCAATGCCAGCCGAGGCACACAAGTCCAAGAGACTCTCATCCCCAATTAATGAGCAAAAAGCCAGAAGTGGAGGTATGGATCAAGTGCTAAAGCACCAGCCTTGAGTGAAGAAGATAAGCAAGAGCATGAGGTCCTGAGTCCAAGCCCCAGGACGGCACGATTAATTAAAATAAAAATGAACAGAGGGGGGCACTGGCCGCTCATAACTGGACTTTCATTTGGGCACAGAGATTTACCTATCATGCCCGACAGAAGGCAGGAAGCTGCATCAGAGTCCTCAAGAAAGCAGGAGACAAGGCCACCGAGGTCCTGCTATTAACCCTTCTCTGCCCTTCCTTTCCCTTCCCTTTTTCCTTCCTTCCTTCCTCCCTCCCTCCCTTCCTTCTTTCCTTCCTTCCATTTTGGGGTTTGAATCAAGGCCTCATACACTAAGCGAATACTCTATTAAGCTACTTCTAGCCTGTATCTGTATATCTATATATCTTGTGTATTTTCTTCTATTTTTTCCTTTCTTGTCCCCTCCCCTCTTTTTTTTGTAAGTTGTTAGGCTTGAACTCTGGGCCTGGGCACTGTCCCTGAGCTCTTCAGCTCAAGGCTAGCGCTCTACCACGTTGAGCCACAGCACCATTTCAGCTCTGGTAGTTATTTGGAGATAAGCGTCTCATGGAGTTTCCTGTCCAGGCTGGCTTTGAACCTTGATCCTCAGGTATCTCAGCCTCCTGAGAAGCTGTGATTACAGGTGTGAGCCACTGCCCCTCAGCCTCCTTCCATTCTTCTCTTTTCTTTCCTTCTTCCTCTTCCCGGCCCCCATTCCTTCCTTTGCTCCTCCTTATTCATTTAAGCAGAGCTGGCAGAGGCTGGCAGATGATGGGGGAATTGGGTGGCCACTTGCTGCTGGTGCCAGGCCCTGGGCTGATCGTTATCACGGTGAAGCAGCTGTCTCTAGGGGCCTGCTGGCCAAATCCCTGGAGAGCACACTCCCGCTGAAAACACCTGTGGCTAGGAGAGCGCGCCTCCACCTAGGACACAGGTGTCTGGAAGATCTGTTTCTATTACATCACCGCAAAGACCGCTGAGACTGGGTTTGCGGAGGATGGGCAAAAAAAAATTAAAAAAAGTGGGGAGATCGATGGGCCAGGGTAGTGGCTAGTGCCCGTGAGCTCAGTGATCTCAGGTGCTTCCGCGGCTGAGGGAGGAGGAGAAAGGTCAGCCAGACCTAAATGAAAAAATGAAGCAGCAGCAAGCTGGGCATGGCAGCTCACGCGTGGGGCGCAGCTGCTTGCTGCGGGAGGCCCTGGCAGGAGGACTGCAGGCCAAGGCCGACCTGAGCAAAAAGGAAAAATAACAGTGCACAAGCACGGGGCCATGGTTCAGTGGTGGACCTGTCACCGCCTCGCAAGCACGAGGCCCTGAGTTGAAATCCCGGTGCCCCGTACTGCCCCGACACATGACTTAGAACTTACAAGAACGGTGATGTTTTAAGTTCCCTCATTCGGTGACTCCAGATAGTGAAGACTCCTGGTCCAAAACAGGAGAGGGCTGGATTTGAGCGTGTGTGTGTGTGTGGCTGGATTTGAGTGGTGTGTGTGTGTGTATGTTTGTATGTGTGTGTGGCTGGATTTGAGCGGTGTGTGTGTGGGGGGGGATGTATATGTGTGTATGTGTGTGTGTGTGTGGCTGGATTTCAGCGGTGTGTGGGGGGGTATGTATATGTATATGTGTGGGGGGGGCTGGATTTGAGCGGTGTGTGTGTGTGTGTGTGTGGCTGGATTTGAGCAGTGTGTGTATGTGGTATGTATGTGTGTGTGTATGTGGGGGGGTATGTGTATGTGTGTGTGTGGCTGGATTTGAGTGGTGTGTGTGTGTATGTGTGTGGCTGGATTAGAGCGGTGTGTGTGTGTGTGTATGTGGGGGGGTATGTGTATGTGTTTGTGTGTGTGGCTGGATTTGAGTGGTGTGTGTGTATGTGGGGGGGGATGTATATGTGTATGTGTGTGTGTGTGGCTGGATTTGAGTGGTGTGTGTGTGTGGTATGTGTATGTGTGTGTGTATGTGGGGGGGTATGTGTATGTGTGTGTGTGTGGCTGGATTTGAGCGGTGTGTGTGGCTGGTTTTGAACAGTGTGTGTGTGTGGTGTGTGTGTGGGGGGTATATGCATGTGTGTGGTGTGTGTATGTGGGGTGTATGTGTGTGTGTGGCTGGATTTGAGCAGTGTGTGTGGCTGGATTTGAGGGGTGTGGGGGGTATGTGTATGTGTGTGGTGTGTGTGTGTGTGTATGGGGGGTATGTGTGTGTATGGCTGGATTTGAGCGGTGTGTGTATGTGTGTATGTATATGTGTGTATGATATGTGTATGTGTGTGTGGTGTGTGTGTGTGCATGTGGGGGGTATGTGTGTGTGCATGCGTGTGTGCGTGTGAAGCGGGCGCAGACTCTGCCAGGCGAGGTCAGTTCTCCCTGAAGGTCTCCACAGCTCTCCCGGGAACACGACAGATGATGGCATGCGTGGAGAGCGACGCTCCGCCAGCGCTGTGTTGCTTGCTCAGTCTTTTTCTTTTTCTGTTTGTCGGTGGTGGGGCCTGCACTCTGGGCCTGGGTGCTGTC